TACAAATATGTAAAGAACAAGTCATTTACCTGGGGTTCCAACTACAACAAGGCTGGAGGGGCCTAATGGCTGACCAGAAGAAAGCTATTGCTTGCACCTAGGTTCCCAGGACCTATAAACAGTTGTGTGGCTTCCTGGGGATGGCAGGCTACTTACTGCAGGATATGGACGCCCAAGTTTGGAGTTAGAGCAAAGCCGCTACATGAAGCTTTAGTCAGGGCAGATCTTGAGCCTTTAACTTGGTCAACAGAATGTGAAACTGTCTTTAAAACAATCAAGGACAGAGTAACGTTTGTCCCTGCTTTGGGACTGACTAACCTTAAAAAACCATTTAAATTATATGTGCATGAAAAACAAGGAACTGAGCTGGAGTTCTTGTCCAATAGCTGGGTGAAGCTCTCCAAGCAGTGGCCTATTTTTCAAAACAAATTGGGCCACACAGCCAATGCATGGCCCCCTTGCCTCTGGGGAGTAGCAGCCACTTGTGATGTGCTGAAGGAAGCTGAGAAATTCACACCTGGACAACCTATCATTGTGCATATGCCACAGAGGTGACCAGGAGATGCCAACTTTGTGCTAAAAACAACCCCAAAACTGAAAAACTGCCAAGGGCTCAGGGGACTCAATATCATGGACCATATCCCTTTGACGACTGGCAAGTGGACTTCACCCAGATGCCTAGGCTCCTGGAGATTTCAAATATCTACTGGTCTTTATTGACACCTTTTCCAATTGGGTCAAGGCATATCCCACTAGAACGGAAAAAGTGTCAGAGGTGACATGAGCCCTGCTAAAGGATATCATTCCCAGATACGGCATACCCGATTCTATACAAAGTGACAATAGCCCTGCCTTTGTCTTAGAAATAACCAAGCAGGTGAGTAAAGTGCTAGGAATCCACTGGAAGCGACACACTGCCTGGAGACCTCAATTGACAGGTAAGACTGAGAAAATGAGCCATACTCTAAATAGGACTTTATCCCAAGAGACTAGTCTAACATGGGAAAAGTCACTGTCATTACCCTTCTTCACATCAGGGTAGCTTCTAGAAGCAGGCTACAACTGAGCCCTTATGGAATTATATATGAGAGACCCTGTCAGACTTCCATAAAGGGGATACTCTCCCCACACTTCGATATGAAAATAGGATCAAGTATTATGTACAACAGCTTAATCAAGTTCTAACCTCTGTGCATGACTGTGCTTCCTCAGGGACAAGATCGTACCCTGAGGACTTCCTGCACCCTTTTCCACAGGGAGACTGAGTCCTGTTAAAGATATGGAGGAATTAGGGCCCAGAAGACCAACTAATAGAAAAACGGACAGGCTCCTATGATGAACTCTTAACCACTCACACTTCCTTAGAACTTGCAGGTGTTAACCGTGAATCCACCAAACTTTATTAAAGGGGATACCACCAGAAAGCAGCCCTCCTGACCCTCCACAGGATCCACAGTCATCTCACTGGACGATGCCCTGAAAGACCTCAAATACTTCTTCAAGAAGTGGGCCCCAGGTGAAATATCTTAAATAATCATGAATTATATTGCTATCACTGTTTCCTATGCCTTCTCCTTACCCCAAGTGACATCCGATCTAACCTGTTTGCAGATTGAGCTCTCAGTTTCTGAGGTCTACCAAGAGACTAATTGTTGGATATATGGAGAGCTCCCCCTTTCTGCCACTGATGGGCTGCCTTGGAAAATTCATCCAACCAATCTGTCCATGTGGCAAAAATTCTCTGGGTGGTCTGGGTTCCTGGGAGCAAATATTTTCCCCTCGCCTGTGGGAGAATGTTTTCTTCTTTCCTCCAAGAAAGGGTATTTCTGATAGTAGCTGAGATAAAGCAGCATGTGTCTGCTTTAGTGAAGGAACAAGTCAATGCCACCCCTAGTATGGGCTATGGGATGCACGATGGAGTTGGATGGCTGACAGCAGAGCAGGTCCGACTAGGAGAGATAACATCGTGTGCGCTGAAAAGCTAAACGATTCTCGTGGGACTCCCCAAATAATGGATTGAACCCTGTGAGAAACATATAATATGACTGTCACTCTGAGTACCTGTGGCTTGATTGGCAAGATCACTCTAAGAAGTCAGGGTATATATGCCATGGGGATGGCTATGGGTTTGTGGGAAATATGGGTGGCCTTATTTGTCCCACAATTGGATTGGTTGAAGCACCTGGGGCTGGTTATACCTTCCAGGGCTAATTGTCTGTCACCTGCCAGCAGTTCCCAATAACTGGAATAGTGTGAAAAGCCAGACCCTATGTCAAAGGAGTCTCTTGGTGGTTCTATCCCCTAGCTATACTCACCCCAGGAGCTGCTTCCAGTGTCACAGAATTTCAGGTAGAAACCTTGGCCAGACACACAGCAGCCACTTTTAACCAATCCCAATGGGCCATTACCCTTCTAAATGATGAGACCACACAAATTCACAAAGTGGTCCTCCAAAATTGAATGGCCTTAGATATTTTGACAGTTGCCCAAGGAGGGAATTGTGGTCTCGTTAAGACAGAATGTTGTTTGCGTCTATATCCCCAATTATTCAAAGAATGTAACTGAAGTATTGAAAGACTTAGACAAGCGTATCATTGCTGTTAATGCTTTAGCAACAGACCCCCTACAGCAATTGGCTGGAGTCAATTCCTTCTAAATAGGGGTTCTTAATGTTTAGTGCTGTTATTTTTCTTTCTCTTCTCTTCCTCAGATGCTGTTTAATCAACTGCATTTGTAAGACTGGGGCCAATACTATTTGCACCAGTATGGAAATGCCCCTGTTACATACTCTGGGAAAAGACCCAAAAGACAAAGTTCTCTGATCCTGCCAAGGTCTTCCATTCCAAGATTCCAACAGTGCCCCCTGTCGGCAGGAAGTAGCTACTGAAGAAAAGAAGCCTATTGTCCCTGATCCCATAGAAACGGAATGAGGACTTGACAGCGAGAATTTGAAAGAGGACACTGGCCTACTTAACTCCATTTGTCCTTCTATCACACTAACCTTTTCTGAGTCCCTCTGGCCTTTCCAGTCAACTAACCCTAACCCTAATTCCATGAAAAACAGGACTGAGGGATAACATCTTTATGACAAAGAACCAGAGCCTCCACCCTCCCAGTGAAGGACAATTATAAACAGGAACCAGATTACTCCCTCCAGGAGATAACTTCCCAGTATTGGACCAGACCACCTGCATGACCAAGATTGCTGGCTCCGCCAGTCATGTATACCTCAAACCCCTCCTCTGATTCTCTTCCTATAAAATCTCAAAGTTTCTGTAGGCCCCTCAAAGATAACCTTAGGGTCCCCGGACCTCTTTTTGTCTTCCTGCTGCAGCCACTTGCAATTAAATCTCCTTTCTCCACCATTCACTAGTGCTCATCTCTTTAAATGGCACACAGGGACAGGTGGCTGATCCTAGTCCATTTGGGATCTGTGGGGCCAGGGCTTTTGCCCTAAAACTCCAGTTTCATTTCTATGGCTGTTACTGGGTGACAAGTCATTTCCCCTTTCAGATTATTTCCACTTTAAGGCCAATTTCTATTTGCTTTTTGATCTTCTGCTTTAAGACATTGAGCCAATATCATCACCAGTCAAGTGCCAGGTTTCCTTTCAAGGCCTTGAACTTGTCATTTGTCCTTTATGGTCCTAGGTAGGTTCTGTCTGTGACTGATCTGAGATAGACAGGGTTTTCCTGGTACAGCAAAAGAAAAGGGACTTCTTATTAAAAGGTGGAGGCAAATGTGAAACTTTTAGGTTGCCTCTTCTAGACACCAGTGACTGGAATAAAGGTTCTGTGGAAAAACAGTAAGGTGATTACCAATTTGTTAATGAATAATAAATGGTCCAATACAGCAGAACGTGATGGTTTAGTCACCAGCAATTATCTGGAGCTCCCAAAAGAAATTTCTTCTTAAGTTTTGAGATATATTTCCTCTTCTGTGACATATCGAGAGTTTTTTTAAAAAAAACTCTTGGTTTATTTCTTCAGCAGTATTAATAAAATGAATTATACTGTGGCTGAATCTAACTCACATTTAAAAAATTATAAATGGTTCTTTGTATTTTCCACAAAAATTGCTGATGGTTTTCTGTCTTAATTTTAAGTTTTTTAAGGGCAAGATTTATGAAATAATTCCCTTTGTGGTCCCACAGCTCATAAGGCAGAATTATTCAGCTGCAGGCACTTAACCTACACCTTTGTCACTTTTCTACTAATTGTGATGTGGTGAATTGGCCTTACCTCTTAGTCACACCCTCACATGTCTCAAGGAGTCATGGGAACACACGTTTCTCATTGTTTCTAAATACAATAGAAAGTTATTCTAAATGATGCAGATGAAGGCTCTTATTAAAGTGCCACTGTGAGTTTAATAATGTATATGTTGCTAAAAATCATTTAATGGATGAACAAGTCGGAAAAAAGAACTCTTAGCACCCACACACATCGTGATAAAACAGGGCAGCGTTTTGCCCTTGCTTTCACAGCATAGTCTGAGAAAGATCTCCAATGTTCATCTTTCCCCTCTCTTACTTAGCAATTCAACCTCATGCCGGTCAGCTGCTGAATCGTTAGAGTGTCACCCTGGCTTGGTATTTCCAAAACTATGTGTCTCTGTTGAGGACTGCACCTTTATGGCACCCACATGCTTGCAAAAGAATGAAACCCAGAATATTCATTTAGCCTCTTATATTTTCAGAATACCAAAAAAAAAAAAAAAAAAAGAAAGGAAGGAAAAGAAAAGAAAAAAGAAAGAAAAAGAAAACTTCCATGTCCTCTTTCGTCTCCCGGTCTCCCCTGTTCCCATCTTAAGATGCTGGGTGGAAGGGGCCGAGCGGTGGGCAGCGGCTGAGTCCCCGATAACCAGCGCCTCACATTTCCGTGGCTTTCCCATTTGCGTGTGCGCTGCTGCGGCCGCACGCCTGATTGATATATGGCACTTTTCCATTTGACATTCTCCTCTCTCTCTCTCTCTCTCTCTCTCTCTCTCTCTCTCTCTCTCTCTCTCTCTCTCCCTCTCCTCTCTCTCTCTCTCTCTCTCTCTCTCTCTGTCGCTTAAACAACAGTCCTAACTTTTGTGTGTTGCAAATATAAAAGGCAAGCCATGTGACAGAGGGACAGAAGAACAAAAGCATTTGGAAGTAACAGGACCTCTTTCTAGCTCTCAGAAAAGTCTGAGAAGAAAGGAGCCCTGCGTTTTCCCCAAGGTAAGCAGGAAAAACAAGCGCTGACGGCTTGCCTAGGAAATTACTTCTTTGCAAACCGAGCATTTCATCCTCCGCACAGACAAAGAGACAACCTTTAAATACCACTTAAATTTGCATTACTTGAATTTGCATTAATGTGTAAGCTTGGTAGCCTTGTGTTTTTTTTTTTAAATGAACGGGTCTTTGAAGTCTGTGACAGAGCAGGGAGCGTCGCAGAGAAGCTCCAAAATAGCTTTTGGGTTGATTGCGATTTTCTTTTCAAACTCTCTGCGTAGTTCGATGTAACTTTGTAATGGTTCTTATATTTGACCCTTTGAAAGGGGACAGAGCAGCAGCAGCTTGCCGACTTGGATTCATGGAGCCCGGTGTCTTCCCCGCCGCCCTCATCCCACTTACAATGGGGGCACTATTAACGCAGGCGAGCCTGCGAGGTTAAACGCGCACTGTTTACTTTTATTACTACTTATGTATGCGGCTGATCTCTTGCCAGGGCTGTGCCGGAGTGCTCAGAATGACTTCAAACAATAGGCAACATTTATGCCTAGCTTTCTGTGTCACGCTTTGCAGGAATCCTGCTCCTTTGCACTCCTCTTCCATTGCGCAGCGGGACTTCGCTTCCATAGATGCCTCTGGGAGCACCGGGCAGAGATGAGGATGGCTTTGCTGTTTGATTTTGATTGGGCAAAAAGTCCGAGGAAATGCATGCTGTTTGCCTTGGCCTTATTGCAAGGGGTTATTTTTAGTAGTCAGCTTGTCCCTGCAGCATGACCAATGCTCCCATGTTCAAGGAGTGACAGGGAAAGGATGCTCCCACCAGCACAGGGACAGGGACCCGGAGGAATGCCTCCTGCAGACACCTGAGGAATATTCGGAGGGTTCTTTCAAACTCCTGAATACAAGTTCTCTCATTACTTGAACAATTGAGCTGTAGGCGGCCTGGCCATAACTCTTTCTTGAGGGACGGGAAGTTTGATTGTGTACAGAATGTTAATGACTCAGAACACACAGTGACTGAGGCTCCTTGTGGACAAGCCCAGATAAGCCTCCAAGAAAGGGATTCAGGTGCCGGAAAGGAAGCTATTTGGCAAGATGGGAGCCCAGCACACTTTCTTCGGAACTGTCATCGCTAACAGTTGTAGTTTGCCTGCTGCAAAGCATGCCTCCTTTCATTTCTAATATTAGTGGATTTTAATTACAAGGAGCTGGCATCTGCAAATTGCTTCAACTCAGAACATTAAATACCAGGTACACTTGAAAGCACAGAGATGTCTAAAATGCAGTGTTGGCTGTGGGTGTCAACCAAATACTGCAGGGACTGCAGCGTGCTTCTCAATTAAGTGTTTAGACTATATGCAAATGAATCTGCTCATTTTCTTCTCACCAGTCTTGCTTCTGGAGATTAACTTTAGGGTCCAACTGACCAGTTTTCATTGTGGCACTGGGGCATGATGTATGGGGCACTTTTCTGGTTTTCTCTAATAACTAGCCTAACAAGCATTGTTGAATGGAAGTCTGACTTTTAAATGAATTAATTCATAACTCTGGGATATTCACTAATCAAGAAAGCCCATAAAAAAAGATACTATGGGTTGTATTGCTATAAAGTTTTATGGTGGCTTTTCTTCAAACCACTGCTGTTAGCAAAGCATTTAGGCAATTCAAAACAATTTTCTTCAACTATTATTCAGCTCATTACATGAGAGTGTTTGAATACCGAATGCAATGCATTGCATCATTTATTTTAAAATACATTTGGTCCAGGTAATGGCAGAACTAGCTGAGGCCTTCTTACAACTGTGTACCAAGCAGCTGATACTCATAGATAGAAACGCGCCTGTGGAGTTTTTAATCTTCATTTGAGTTCCAATGACACTGTCAAGGGAAAAATAAACCATTTTTCAATACATTTCACAATTTCCAACTCATTTATTTTCCTGGGGCCTTGAAAAATGTAGTTTCTTAGAATTATAGCCACCAATGGTGACCAGTGATTTTTACTCTATTTTAAGAACTCATGATGCACATACTATTATTCTTATTGGTTAACTATTCATTCATTCCAGCTCTCTCTCTCTCTCTCTCTCTCTCTCTCTCTCTCTTCCCCTCCCTCCCTCTCTCTTTCTTCTAGTGGGACTGGGGTTTGAACTCAAGGCTTTGCACTCGCAAAGCAGGCGCTCTACCACTTGAGCTACACCTCCAGTCCATTTTACTCTGGTTATTTTGGAGATGGGGTCTGATGAACTATTTGCTCAGGCTGGCCTTGAACCAAGATCCTCCCCATCGCAGCCTCCCAAGTAGCTAGGATTACAGGTGTGAGCCATTGGTGCCCAGCTCGGACATTCTCTTAATAAATGGTAAGCATTTGCCATACGCCAGGCACTATGCTAATCCTGATGGAGGACACAAAGGGGAAGCGGACGTTGTCCTGAACCTTAACTCTAGGTCTGTATTCTCCCTCCAGTTAGATTTTGGTACTGAAATGGACTTTCCCAATGGATACAGTGGGTCATGAAGAACCACTTAACATAGCTGCTGGTGTCTAGATTTACTTGAAATGGTTCTTTCTTATCAAAGGATTTTCTTTCCATTTATGATCAAGGGGCTCCCCTTAGGACTTTAGCACTAGATTCTGGGTGTATCTCACTTGCAACAGTTAACATGGTCTGGAACTTGCCAGCCTGGGTAGAAAAAGCCTGGAAAAGTGCAGTGTATCTTTCCTCTGCTCTCTTGAGCACCCTTTGGAAAGGCCCACGTGCTGTCCCTATCGGGGATGGGTGTGAGTCAGCCCCTCAGCAGCTGACATCAGGGCCATTTGATGAATCATTGAATTAGAAACATGCACCGAGGAGGATGCAGTCACTATTTCTCCCACCACTTACTCGTCCCACTCCCAGGACTGACGAAACCAATGACCTCTGGGCCTGGCCCCAATTCAAAAGGCCCCTGGGAAGAAGTTGCCGGAAGTTGTTCCCCAAACCCAGGTCTCTGTCTGACCCACACACACAGAGTTGTTTTCAAATAACCAGTCTGGTGTTTTTTAGCACACAGTTAAATTACTGAGGGGAAAAAAACCCCTCAAGACAGCATCAGCAAGAACCTTGATTTGGTCCTTATCAGCAGATAATCCCCATGGTTGGATTAAAATGCCTTTGACTCCCTAGGGTGCCTGACTCACCCTTAGCCAGCCCTCTGCTTCTTGGCTCTTAGCCTTCAAGCCTGTGCTCACCTCTTTCTATGACAGTCAGTCAATGCTACTTTGTCTTGGCAGTCCAGCAGTAGCAGCAGGGATGGGGAAGCAGGTGGAAGGACTGCGAAGTGTGAACACATAGGGGGGAAACAGGGCCACGGGAGGGTGGGTGAGCTCCAGGGCCTGAGTTGCTGTGGCCGGTCCTGGCTGTGATCAGCTGTCATTTCCTCTTCGTGTATGACACTGTGGAACATATTAAAATTTCTCTGGGATGGTATGATTGGAATTCCTCTGATGCCCCACCTCACCAACTTACCCGGACAATAAAAGCAAGGTTGTAAGCCTTTGAACAGCTGGCTGGCTATATATTTCCCCTCTTTCTTTCGCATAATCTAATTCAGAAAAGAATCCAGCTAGACTGGCAGTGCCATGTTTGGGTACTTGTTTCCTGCAAGTCCTTCCTCCGCCACCTCCTCCTGCTCTCCCTGGAATCTTCCTGGGTGGCATGTGGCTTTTCTTTTCTTTCTCTCACCACTGATCCCAGCCCGCCCCCTTTGCCCTTCGCCTGAGCTCCTTCCATTGTGAGCTGGCTCTTTGCTCTGTCTGTTTTCCAGACAGCCTGAGTCCTGTTCCATCCGGGGAGAACAGCTCATGAGGTCTCTTCATCTCCATAGTATTCCCAGGATGTCATTCTTGGCACCGGTTCTGCTGGGCTGATAGGATATGGGGGCTTTTTGTAGCCCAGAGCCTGAACCCACTTGTAGAGAGGAGCAGCCACGTGGCTCACAGAGAGCAGGATTGGAGTGACCCGGGTTGGCAGGGACAAACATACCATCACAGTGACCCGGACATCTCTGGCAAAGGTCTGGGGCTGGGAGCACTATGGAAATGCCTGGATACACTTCGGCCCACATTAAGAGAAATGTGGTGATTTTCGGCTTCAGAGGGAGAAACAAATGACTTGGAACAAAGTTCCCCAGATCCTTGGGCCCTGCCCTGCCCCCTTTCCCACATATCCCCTTCCCCAAGCAGAAAGAAAGAGAGACAGGACTTAATTTGGCCAGCTTGGGCTTGAATGTCTTTATGAAACCCATTTGATGAAAGGAAGAGGGGAGAAATGGACCCTAGGTTGAACCAAGTGAAAATGCATGGTGCTGTGGAGGTGAGGAAGGAATTTTCCTTCTCTTTCTTTCTTTCCTTTCTTCCATTCCTTTCCTTTTCCTTCCTTCCTTTTCTTTTCCTTCCTTCTTTTCCTTTCCCCTCCCTCCCTCCCTCCCTTCCTTCCTCCCTTCCTTCCTTTCTCTGTACCATAGAACAGCAGTTTGGCTAATGACTTCTGAATGGAAGGTACTGGACTTGTCACTTAGATTCCCATTCCCTGTGCAGTATCCATAAAAGATGCATGTCGCCAATGTCCTTGGGAGCAAGAGGTATTAAAGAGCAATCTACAGCTTCTGATTCCTTTTCTTTTCCTGGGGGCTTTGGTTGTCTTCTCCGAATTAGCTAAAGTTCATTAAGAGACCCAAAAGGAAAAATTTAACACAGCTGAATTAAAATGAGTCTTCTCCTATTGGCTTGACAAGATGAGAGAGAAAGACAGAGAGAAAGAGAGAGAGAGAGAGAGAGAACCAATCTCAATCCCCTTCCCCTTCACTACCACTTCTGAGGTTTTAATATGAATTATTCCATACAAGTCCCTAGGCTAGAGGATCTATTTAAGGATGCCTGGCAGCATGAAAGGAGAGAGTAAAAATACAACTACTCTTTTGTCCATCAAAGATTTTCTTTGGGAGGAGATTAAGAGCATTCCTGT